GGCGCGCGCGCGCCGCCGACGTCGTTTGGCTCCCGCGCCGCCTCAAGAAGAGCTTCGTGGTGGCCATTGGCCTCTCGCTGCAGTCGTTTCCGGTTGCTGGGCATGCGACGCTCCACGTACTTGGCTATGGTTGCAGCGATATGCAGGAGGATGATACCGTCTCGTTTCCTCCTAGTACCTCTCGGTCGTCCTGCTGCACCAGCTCATGTGCGCGCACAATGACGTGCGCGTGTTTGCTCTGGCGGTGCGTCACGCGGTAGGATGAGGGTGCGTCATGCGCTCGTGCACTAGATGGGTGTCCAGCCTCGTGTCGCGGCGCTCCTCGAGGCGACGTCGGATCTCACGTCGCTCTATGCGCAGCTGCGCGACGTCGACACGCTTCTGCGGTACGACAAGATAGAGACAACTTGTCTGCATTCCGGTGGTGGGGTGTAGGATGGAGCTCGGGGTGGCCCGCGCTGAGCTCACGGGCGCCGCCGTCTCGCCGCCTCTCGACCTCACCTTTCTCGTCCACAGCGCATCGACCAATGCGGCGGCGCTGGATCCTGTCTCGACAGCGGATAGCCTGGCGCAAACGAGCCACTTGATCCCGCTGCCTGCCCATGCGCGCGGCGTGACGCATGCCAACTGGAAGCCCAAATTACGCTTTGCGTACAAGTGCCTCCAGTGCGACTCGCGGCTCCATGTGCACGAGGCCATCCGGATTCTTCGAGCCATTGCACACCTCAAGCCGCTCGGTTGCGACGTCGCCAACGTCCAGCTCAACCTCGGCGCGGTCTATTTACACCTCGAGCACCAAGTCGACGAAGCGATTGCGTGTTTCGAGTCGGCGATCCAACTCGACCCGACGTTGTGGAAAGCGTACTACAATCTCGCGATCGCACTGCTCCAGCGTGGCCGGCTCCTCGAAGGGAAGGACGCACTCGTCGCGGCCCTCGAGAAGCATCCGTCGGATCCGCGCACGATCGCGATGCTTGCCGACGTCAACGCAGCGCTCACGATGGCCGCGATGCAAGTCGTCGCCTCCGAGTGCGACCGACAGGCCTTTGCCAACGACGTGTCGGTCGTCGTGTCTTTTCTGACGGCGCCGGCCGCGCCGCTGGCCCCCGTTCGGTTTGCTGCGGCCATCAACTACGTGCAGGACGCGAGTGCGCTTGCGGTACCCGTGACGCAGCCGCTTTCGCCGGGCTGGGACGGTGCGATCGCCAACCTCTTGCACCGCCTGTATGTGTTTGCGGCGCTGCGGCAGCAGCACGTGCACGAGGTCGGTCTCGTTTTGTAGTATCAACGTATCAAGTTGATCGTAAAGACATCCTGATGTAGCTGTTTCAAAGCGTGTGCGAGCCCGACCAGCCGCAGTGGATCTCGATCACGGCCTTGGACCGCCTTGTGGCGACGACAACCGGCGTCGGCTTGTCAAATGAGGAGCGCACCGAGCTGAATGTGCTCTTCCCACGCCAGTACGCTTTTGAACCTGAAGTTGATACGTTCTTGATACATTGCTGGGGTAGGACGATGATTCACGCGCTCTTGCAGCCCAACCGTGTGACGTCCGACATCATTCGCGACGTGCGACGCCTCGGCGCTGCCTTCTCGCACCTCTCGTACCCCCGTCCTCGCGTTCGATCGGTGCCATCGCCCTGGACGCGCTGGCTGGACCTGCCGCTGCTCACGTGGCTCCAGTCGGTGCATAGCCTCAAGGCGAAAGCCTCGAGCATCTACGCCGTGCTCATCGACCTCGACCTCTTCAGTGTGCTGCACCTGGCGAAGCGCCAGCCGACGCTCAAGCCACAACATCTCAAGCCCATGGACTTGGCCGACCGCGGGACACTGATTTACGAGCTCTTTGGCCTTCGCCGGAGCATCGAGCTGGCGGCCGGGAGTGTCATCCAAGGTCCCACTCGTCGTCATCAACGCGTCGTGCGACCAAGTGCGTAGGCGCGATTCGCATCTTGACGGCCACGATTCAACGCCAGCAACGAAGAGAGCTCTACTTGATGGCCCGCGACGACATCAACGCGCACGACCGGACGCTCTCCATGGCGCTGCGCGACCACCTGCGCCGGCAAGAGACGATGCGCAACGTCTCGGAGACGCTGGAATGCATTCTCCAAGACGCGTTCTCTGCAATATTTACGCTGCCAGCGCTGCCCGCGATGCTACCGTGCATCCCGCTGCGCACCGAGCTCCGCATGCGCACCCACCTCGCGGCCACGTCGATTCAGCGGGCGCACCGCGAGGGAGCCCACGACGACACGTATCGTCTCACACGGTAGCAATTTACTTCACTTCGAAAATATCTGCCTGCTGCTCGAGCGCGAGGTGGCGGAGGTAGAGCGCTTCGGCGAAAAAGGCCATGACCGGGTGCAACTCGTCCTAGTCCATCATCGTTAGCGGTAGCATCGGTGCACGACGGGATAAGAACGTACGCGCGTCGCCAGCGAGAGCGGCCCCGGTACATCAAACACGTGCGTCTCGACCCGACCGAGTGCCGAGTTGCAGCCGGCTTGGCACGCGGCAAACACGGACGAGGACACGAGCGGGTCGTTCTTGCTGTGGAGCAGCAGCACGGGGGTAGGTTGCTTGAACGCGGGCGATGGCGGCGAGAGGAGACCACCCGAGAGGCTCACGACGCCACCAAGGCGCTCGGAAAACGTCGTTGCGACCGAAAGGGCCACATGGGCGCCCTAGCACTTGTTAGTGGGGCTAGGGTTACTATGAAGAAGGCGGACTTGCGCGAGGCCAAAGAGAAAGACGCGGTTGTACGGCCAGCCGTAGACCGTATGCAGCACGCGCAGTGCCTCGTGGAGCACGGGTAGAAGCTCGGCCATGCTAGCAACAACAGCGACGCTTGTCCATCGCGCCGAAAAGCATGTGTACTACCTCTGATCGCGAGCTGCGTGCGCAACGCCCGTCGGAAGCACGTCGCCTTGGTCGCTTAGCGCATGGTACCATGAATAGCCCAAGTCAAAGGGCAGCGCATGCGGCGCCCGCAGCGAGAGCAGTGCTACGCGGACGTGAAGACGGACCGACACGATGAGATCGGAGGACCTGTCTGGGGCAGCGCCATGGCTTGGCCGAGCGCGAACGAAGCTGCATGCGTATCGCCGAGGCCATGCAAGAAGACGACCAGATTCTCGTTGCTCGTGTCGCTGGGCTGGACGCTGAACGTCTGCAACGGCGTCGGAAAGCGCTCCGGCGCCAAGGCGACCGACCGCTCGATCGGCGCCAGCTCGTGCGGAAAGTACCACCGCGTGCGCTGCGACCTGCTGCACTTGAGAAGGATAGCGCGTCCTTCGGCGTGGACTTGGACGACCTCGCCGACACCGTCGCCGGCCTGCACTGTCTGGCCAACGTTCATGTGTCCCGAGACAGGCCGCAAATGTCTAAATACACGCCACCTTAGCCGCCACGTTGCCGTTAAAGGACATGCTGCGGCGAAACAACACACGTCGACGACGCAGGCGAGACGTAGCGAGGTGCTGCCACCGCACAAGGTGGTCGCGAGAACTATGTAGAGGCTGCTGGCGCACGACCAGCCATGGGTAGGACGCTGGTTCTGCGCTGAGGGCTTCCGCCATGTTGCGGCGACGACAGCATGCAGATAGTGAGAACCAATGCTATAGTGTCGATTGGAAAGGGTGGCCGTGCATTTGTCCGCGCATAAGGCGCCAACGGACCCTCGTACGGACGACCTCGTCGCCATCGAACTCTCTTGCGACTATTCAGTCGCGTGCATTTAGCCAGGGTAAGAATAGGCTCATCCGGATATCCGGATACGGTATTCCGCACAGCTTCACTGGCAAAGACCAAGAGACGGGCCCGCGTGCGGCCAAGCAACCCAAGCAAGGACGATGGTCGACATGCAGGCGTCGTCGAAAGGATCGAAGAAGCGCAAGCACGACGCCGACGCGGCGCCAAAGCGCGCCGCAACCAAGGCCAAGAAGGCGACCGCCAAGCCCACGCTGCCAGTGCTGCTGGGCACCGAGCCCGCGCGAAGCAGTGACGCCTCGACCAAGAAGCTCCAGAAGGGCGCGCCGCCCGAGGAAAGCACGACATGTATGCTATGCAACGCGAGCTTGAAGCTCAAGGACCTCCGGCAGCACGTCGGCGGCCACATGGCGTTGGAGGACTTTAGCGTGGTCCGCTGCGGCTTTTGCGGCCAAGACGACGGCAGCTGCGTGATTTCGCTGACCGCGGGCACGTCGACCGTGACGGTGACGCCGGTACCGCAAGGCAACTGCCCTCGGTTCCGCAAATTTTACGTCACGTCGGCCACGAAGAACCACAAGTGCACCAACATCCCGACGCAGTGCGCACGCTGCAACAAGTGGCTCTGGAAGTACACGCTGCGACAGCACTATCGCGACTGCCACGACGGCCTCGAGGCCATGACGGACGCGGAGCGAGAGGCCACGACGCTGAGCCAGGCCGAGCTCGACGGGCTCCACAAGCTCGCAAGCGACATTGCAGGTCGCAAGCGCAAGGCGGCGCCGCGACCGGCGCCGACGTCGTCGACCGAACCGGAGCTGTCGTTGTCGTCGTCGTCGTCGTCGTCGTGGATTGATGCGTTTGTGCCGTTGGAAGTCGAACCCAACGTCTTTCTGGTCTAGGCGGCAAGGACACTCTTGGCCAGACCATTTTGATAGCATTTAGATTATTAACCAGCTACGACGCATTCGTTTTGACCAAATCCATCCCTTGCTTCGAGTCCTCTCGCTGCCGAAATCGTTGCCGCCCGTAACCCTACCCCGCTCACTGGGACGTGTCATAGCGACCGGTTGTAGCGAACGTCCATCGTTGTGGGGGTCGCCATCGACCGCAGGTGGGGGGGCGACAGCAATTGTATGTCGTGAAGAGACGACCGATCGATGCCGTCCTTGCTTGACCATGCATCATCTAGTACATGTATATCGCCATTTACCAGACAGAAATCGTCGAGTTTCCTTCGCGGGTAGAGTACGTCCTTTCACAAAAAGCCTAAAATCGGCACACGGCAGCTGGACCCGTCGTTGCCTCCGCCGACGTCGAGCCAGCGAGCGGTTGGTCGACGGATGCAACGTTGGCTGCCGCATGCGGCCACACATCCAGCCAGCCAATGACGTGAAGCAAGGGCAGCCCCGTGCGTGCGCGGTACGCGTCGCCTCCCGGCTAGAATGACCATGACCCCTCGTGCCATCGTCGAGCGAATAGATCGAGATTATATGACCTTGTTGGTGAGTGAAATGCCCTTGCGAATCAAGTGCGACATCATGAGAAACGAGGTCATGACCATGAGCATCACGCACGGTAACCAGTGGTCGGCGATCCGGATTGCATACGAGAGACACACGAGCAGTTTACCGAGAAAGTTTGGGTTTCGACTGGACATAGCCGTCGTTAAGATGGGACGGCATCAAGAGTTATACGACACGAAGGTAGACGGATCACGTGAACAAGACGCGGGGCAAAACAAAGGACTTTTGCGTGTCGGTGGACAGGAGCAGCGTGAGTCCGATCGTATGCAGCGCCGTGCAAAAGCCCGAAAGCCCCGGCGCTGGCTCGACACGATTGGCAAGGATTTGATCGTCAGGCGCCCAGTCCGCCGCGAGCACGAGGACGCCGACGGCAGAGTCATGTACGCTGCCCAGACCTTGTCCACATCCTTTGCGACCCAGAAGAGCCCAAACATGGCGTGGTCTACAGAGGTGTCAGCGACAAGTTGCAATATTTTTTCAGAAGTACGTTCTCGCCAGGTGGAGGTAGGGAGGTGTGGACCACATGAGCAGTGGCAACACGAGCTTTTGCGCATTTAAAAGCACGCGAAACTGGATCGGCCGAGGACCGCCGAGCATGAGGTAGTCTAGTTGAGCGGAATGCCATACGTGGCCAAGGTCAAAGTCGACGATCCCTCGCTGCATGCTGCTGCTTCCAAGGTCTTGAGGTGAAACGATGCGCACCTCGTATTCTTCAAGTCTACGAAGATACCTAAATATATTCAAGATGGGGACGGCCCACCGGAGCCGTACTCATCGGATATATCATCTTGATGGTGTCGATGACGATGTCGGCGACGTGTCGCAGCGTCCCAGCCGTCCTCGACGTAGCGTGCATCCTTTTCCTTGGGCATTTCGTCAGCTACGAGGACAGCGATGATAAGACGCGAGGGCATCGCAAAAGGTGACGATGGTTGCAACGGCCCTCGGTTTCTTCCGTGGCGCTGCCGACTTTAATTGGTCGAGGTGTGGGCTAAAAAAGCTCCTGCCTCCTGACGTTGCACTTGCTATTGATACGACCGACCATGGAGTGGATCTACGTCACGGCGATCATCCCGGTCAAGGACTATTGCATGTACAGCTGCCTCGGCGGCCCACGCCCCTTGACGCTGGGGCAGCTCGTGAACCTCCACAAGGCCGCCACCGTCCCGCTCATGGTCGGGCTTATGCACGCGTACGACAACTTTACCATCTCGGCCTACATCTACGTTGCCTGTAATGGACAATGCGTTGAGAAAGACAGAATTGTCCACACGTGGATAGGTCATGGCTCGCTCGGGGTTGCGTGGCTCCTCAAAAGCCGGCTCATGCCCGACCGCCTCTTTGCCGGCCGCATGACGATCATGTCGTCATTGCTCTGCATCGGCGTCTTCGGCGGGTACTGGGCCGCGGGGTTTCTCTTGATTAGCGGCCGCGTCGAGTCGTCGTCGCTCGTGCTGTCCCTTGTGATTTTTCTGCACACGATGGGGCTTCTCTGTCTCATGTGCACCGACACACAAAAGTTTTACCAGCTCAAAGCGCGGCCGGGTCTCATCACGTACGCACTCCTCTCTCCTAATCCATGTATCCAATGGATATCCTAGCGATGGCTGGCTCACGTGGAGCCGCAACACCAACTACCTCGGGACGTTTAGCGTCTACCTCGCCCACGCTATTTTGGCGCAGCACTGGTTTCCATACGCGTGGCTCGGGCTCATGGTCGGCGTCTCGTACCTTTCGAGCATGATCGCCAAGGACATTTCGCTGCGCAAAAAGGTAATAGTCGATGCCACATCGTGCCAGATTGACATCTTGATACAGGACGGCGCGGACCGCTACATGTCGCAGGCGGGGTTCTTCTTTCCCAACCTATTTGGCTGGGCACGACACACGCTGTATGCACCCATCGTCGTTCATCCCGACGCTCCTTCAGGGCCAAGCCCCGACGAAGTCGTCGCTTGCAAGCCCCTGGGTCCTACGTAACATATAATCACCTCCAACTTGTACACCTATTGTCTGCAGTTTTGTACAAGGTAGACGTCTTTCAACGTACAACACGAGAGAAAGACGATCGAACGAGTACTCGCTGGGCATATTGAGAGCGCCTGCAACACGGGGCACCACAAAACAGAATCTGTATCAAATAAGAATGCAGTGTCCATACAGTGTCTTTGACCTATTTGGCACGCCAGACCATGGCACGGCCCGAGCTATTGCCGCTTACAATCACGTCGATCGACGGGTGGAACGTATTCATGGAGAAGACGGAGCGACAGAGGTCGTCGTCCAAGCGCTGGAGCGGCTGCGTGGTCGATGTGCCGAAAATCTCAATACAGCGCGGTTGCTGGTTCGAGCCGAGGACGAAGCGCGGCGTCGCCAAGCACTTGGGATCCCAGTGCGCGTGGAACTTGGTGAGCCACCGACCCGTCTGGTTATTGTGCACAAACCGGGTTGTGGGTTCGTCGCTACTCGCTGGCATGCTGTACAGATGGACATGGTCGTCTTGGCCGACAGTCACGAGCGCTTCTCCATTGGGTGAAAAGTAGGCGCAGTTGATACTGCGGTGGTGGGGCAACATGTTGAGCGGCGTCGACGGCTGGCGGGCATCCCAGAGGCACACGGTGCGGTCCAAGGACGCGGTCGCAAAGCTGCTACGAGCCACATGACGACACTACTGCGTGATAGGGTAAGGGTACGTACTGGGTGGACCCGGGCTGGCGGTGCACCGTGTTGATCTTCTTCTCATGAAGTGTCCACATCGTGGGCTTGTTACTCGCGCGCCGGTCAATCGAGAAGACGTGCCCAGCCTCGTCGCACGTCAAGAGTGCGTTCGGCTCCGAGACGTCGACATAGGTCAACGCGACGTCAGTGCGAAAGACGTCAGTGCGGGCTTGCGTCACTAGGTCGTACTGCTGGATGCTACCGTCAAAGGCCGACGTGAGCAACGTGGTCTCTGCTTCGAAATGGATCGACGAGATGGCTTGCTTGTGCGGCCGCCACGTCACAATCGTATTGTCGTCGCTGCTGTCGCGGCTCAAGGGCACCGACCAGAGCGCGACGTTGCCGTCAACGTCGGCGATCGCAGAGAGAATGTGGTCCGTAGCCACCGACGGGTGGCACGCGATCGCGTAGATGCGGCTCGGCGTGACCTTTTCCACATCCAGTTCGTGCAGCGAGTACTTGGCGTCTTCCTGTGGCGGCTCAACAACTGGCTTGCGCTCGGCGCTGTCCTTGCCAAAGAGCTGTCCAAGGGCCGCCGAGTCGGCCGCATTCGGAAAGGATGCTTCGTTCTGAACGAGGTCTTCAGTCAAGTGCGCACGAAGCTCGCGCGGCAGTGGCGAGCGAAGGTCCTCTGGCAGCACGGCCTCCTGGCCTTGGAGGCGGCGCGACGACCGACGTGGCGCGACCACTTGGTCATCGACGGTCTTCTTGCGCTTCGTGGGCGTGGGCTTGGCCGCGCTAATGCGCTGCTTGAGCGCCGTCGCCGACGCCTTGAGCCCCATCGCCTCCATCATTTGCATGTTGCGCGCAATCTTGGCGCGGCGCGCCTCCTCATACGCCGACATGCGCCTGGATCGATGATGCTCGTCCACGATTTGCTAAATGTAGCACAAAACCGGATGCGTCCGGATACGGCGCCGAGTTCCCGCCACGATGAAGCCCATGGACGATTGGCGCCGTACGGTCGTAGCTCTCGATGCACGAGGCGTCAATGACGAGGATGACGCACCTCGACGTGTCGTGCTGCATCGGTAGAAGACAGTGAAGCGCTTGGTCGAGCTGCTGGGTTCATGCCGGCTTAACGAACTCTCCCCGTGATTTGTGTCGGCTGTCCTGGCGCTTTAAAGAAACCGTCTATCAAGCAGGCGCCACACGTTGCATGACGATGACGTGGCGTGCGAAGATGCGAGTCGTCGGTCGAGTGCGTGCAGCGTTTTCTATTTCGTTCTATTTAGCTCAACGTGGGCGGCTCGATGACAGAAGCGCTTGTTCCAGTAGAACGCAGGTGTCTTCCTCGGTCGCGTGGGTACTACGGGATGCCAACCTCGTCATCCAACGAAGAGGACGTTTCATGACGGACTCGTGTCTGCATCGAAACTAAATTAATCTTGGGCAACTCGATGGCGCGTGCGCATAAGGTCGTGGCGCCAGGTCCGTCCACACAGCTCATGGAAGCGCTCGCGGTGCGGCGCTACCGCGTGCGGCACGACGCGTGCCTCTTCTTCGTGAGTCTCCTCGTCTCGATCAACATCGTCATCATGGTACGCACTTAATTCTCTGCCGAAAGAGCTCGTAGCATCGCCGACCAACACATAGCCGTTCCAGGCGTACGTGTCCGAGGCGGTGCCATGGAGCGCACCGCCCATGGACAAGCCGGATGCAGCGAGCTTTGCCGCCTTCAATGCCTCGACGCTTGCGCTCAACCAAGCCTTGTACAGCCGCAGCACACTCCCGAGAGGGGTCACCTACCATGCGGACGTGGCTCGACACAGCTACGTCCTGCGCCACGTGCTCGACGTGTCGGTGCCCACGACGTGCGCGTCCTTGGTCCCGGGGCTACCGGGGGCGGTGTTTTACGGTGCAGCCATGCACGCGCTTCTCTGCGACGTTGCGACGTCGAGGAATCAGTCGTGGCACAACCGGGGCACGTGCCTCGTGGTGACGTTTCTCTGGCTTCCAATCGCGCACGAGTGTCTCTGGCTCACGTCCGGCAACGATTTGGTCGCGACCAATGCGTCGATGGAGGTGACGTTGACCTTTGCATTGACACAGTACCCGTACCCGGCGCTGCTCTGGGCCAAGTTTGTGTTCCGCGCGATTTCAACGCTTGTCGTGGCGTATGTATTGTGGGATCGGTACTATAAGCACTACTTTGCTCTGGCCCGCTTGATGGGCCAATACGGCCACCGCGCCGACTTGGACAAGGCGTGCGAATGGCACTACCTCCTCGTCGTCGGCGACCCCTCGTCGATCCTCGTCACGAGTCCGCTGATTGTCGGTGTGTTTTTTCTGGACATTTGGCTGAGCCCGCATGTGATCGCGACGGCCGTGCTCCGCCTCTTGCAAACCCAAGAGGTTTCGACCATGCTCCGCGCCGCCTTGTACCTCTTCCGCATGGTATCCGACGCGTCATCATCGACAATTAGTTTCATTTGGACTAGGTCTGGATCGCCTACGGTGCCATGTGTGCAACGTCCGTGTGTCTGAAGCGATCGCGGCGCCACTGCGTCTTTGCCGAAGTCGACCCGACCGTGCTCGTGCTCATTATGACGTTCTATGGTCCGCTATTGTGGCTCATGGCGGGCAACGTGTGGACTTGCCTGCGATTCTGTCAATGGCTCCTCACGTGCCTCCTGCCTGACGACGCCAAGGTGACACGCGTCGAGATCATCCTCGTCGGCTGCGTCTACATTGCCTTCGTGGCGCTTCTGCCATTGACGTACGGCTTTGTCGCGGGCTATATCCGTATGATAGATGATGACAAGGTGTCCAATGTCACTGAGGACGATCGTATGTAGGAACACCGAGGGCACCACCGATCGCGTACGATAGCTTTCGGTACAACTCGTTCAAGACGCGCGCGCTCATCACGCAGGTCCACCCGCTTCGCCTCGGTGAACACGTGGGTCTCTCGTTCGGTGGCTCGATTTACTCGGTGTTTGAAATGCACATGCAGTACAAGAAGACACCGACGATGAACGCGCGCGGGTCCGACTGCTTTCTCTTGTGCTACCGCAACAATGCCCTCGTCACCAAGATGCGGCTCAGTCTTCTCTGCAGCCTCGACTGCACTGGCGGCGGGAAGAGTCCGCCCATCATTGACGCCGAAGAGCCGTGCGAGTTTCATGTGAACGCGTTCAACTACACGGGTCGCCACCGAAAGCTCTCGCTCATCGCGGGCCGAGGCAGCATCGATACGCGCATCACCATTTCCCGATCGGCCCACCCGACCGAGTGGTGTATGTAATAGCTTGACATCCTATAAGAATCGTATAAGATGTTTAGTACTATGTTTGATTTGATTTGATCCAACAGGACGAGCGCGTTGCAAGCTAAGGCTCTGTCTCGGACGCAGGTGCTAGGGCGTCGAGCTATGGAAACACATGCGTCGTCAGATATGCTGACCAAATGAACGCTACAACCCAGTGGGTCGAGCTACAACCGAACCTGACGAGCAGCTAAATTGCCCTCAACATCCATTCCATCATGAATGGAATTGACTCCTTCCTCGACTAATGTCTCCAGTATAGAAGGCCCTTTGCCATACAAACGGCAGAGACAGCCGGGCGCGCAGCAAATGCCAGCCCGAGACCCAACGCGACCGTCCAAGATCGCACCCCTTCACATACGTTTCCTCCACCATTCCCAAAAGTACCCTACCCTTCACATAGGTACTGTCGGCAAACGGACCCTTTTGGTTGGCTTCCAGTCGTTGGGTCTTTTAGACCAATGGCATCGCCCGACGTAATTGGCTCGCGAGCATCAAGTTGCATCTCGCGTCGCCGCCGGTATGAAGAAGAAGGCCATCAAGTTCATCGCCAAGGGCGGGCTCAAGCACAAGATTGCCAAGCGCAATGACAAGAAGAAGTTCAACAAGGGCAAGAAGCCGGCCGTGCCATCGACCAAGCCGACGAAGGCGGCGCCGCGCGCGGCCGACGCCGAGTCGTCCGACATGCTGGACGACATGGACGTGGACGACTTTCTCAACGGCGACTTCCTCGACAACGACGAGGACGACGACGATGAGGTGAACGGCAGCGACGACGATGTCGACATGAACGGTGACGACGACGATGACGATGCCTCGAGTGAAGAAGAGGACGAGAGCGCGCTCGACCCGCGCTACCTCGCGCCGAGCCGCGACGAGGACATTGCCGAGTCGGACGACGACGAGGAGGCCAACGCCGCGTCCGTGCCCAACGAAGCGCCCGGTTCGGACTCGCGCATCGAGCTCACGATGGAGGCGCTCCGCGCAATTGAAGCCAAATGCGAGAGTTCGCCGAGCATCAAGTCGCTGCGCCGCCTGCTGCAGATCTTTAGCGACGCGTGCCAGTCGCCCGAGTCGGACAAGACCGGCCCGAAGAACACCAAGTACGACATTCGGTCGAGCGCAGTCTACAACGAGCTCATGGTGTCGGTCTTCAAGCACACGGTGTCGATCTGGGATGCGTACTTTGGCGAGACACTGGACGCTAAGAAGTGGTAGGGCTCCTCGTGCTTTTAAAGCTGTAGGATTCACAATCTGTCCTTAGGTCCAAGATTGCGCCGATGCTCCGCCGCTTCTACGCGTGCGCCGTGTACCTGCTGCAAGAGACGACCAACGCCGACATCCAGCGCTTCGTGCTTCGCGGCTTGACCAAGTACATGCGCTTCGTCGTGCCGTGCCACAAGACAGCACGCAAGCTGCTCAAGTGCTTCGTCTCGCTCTGGGGCAAGTCGCTCGACACGCAAGTGTGCATGCTCGCATTCGTCCGCGTCCGCGAGCTCGCGCAGCTTATGCCGTTCCCGTTCCTCGAGCTCTGCCTCAAGGCACTGTATTTGAGCTACATGCGCAACGCCAAGTTTACCAACGGCGTCAACTTCCAGCACCACATCGTCATGGGCAACTGCATCGTCGAGCTCTACGGGCTCGACCTCGTCTCGTCGTACCAGCACGTGTTTATCTACATCCGCCAGCTCGCGATCTCGATCCGGAAGGCGATCGCGGCGCCGTCGACCGAGACGCTCAAGGGCCTTCTCACGTGGCGCTTTGTCAACTGCCTCAAGGTCTGGGCCGCGGTCGTCGCGGCGTATCCGGAAGAGAACCAGCTCAAGGCGCTTGTCTATCCGATCTCGCAGCTCTGCTTTGCGCTCATGCGCCTCGCGTCGGTCGTGCGCTACATCCCGCTGCGCTTCCAATGCATCAAGGTGCTCCAGCAGATCGCGTTCGCGACCAACACGTTTGTCCCGACGGCGCCGGTGCTCCTCGAGGTCCTCGCGCTCGGCACGAAGGCCAAGACCAAGAAGCAGGCCAAGGACACGGAGATCGTCGAATTGGATCTGCTGGTCAAGCTCTCAAAGGCGGCGACCGAGAACAAGCGCGTTCAAGACATGGTCGTCTCCAAAGTGTTTGAGCTCCTCCAGCGCGAGTGCGACGTGTACAAGTACTCGATCGCGTTCCCGGAATTCGCCGTGCCGCTGTCGCTGGCGCTCGCCAAGTTTGCGAGCTCCACGAACGTGCCGCAGTGGAAGTCGATGGCCCGGGGTCTCATCGCGAGCATTGAGAAGCGCTCCGAGTGGATTCGCGCCAAGCGGGTCGTGGCCGACATTGCGCCCAAGGAGCTTGAGAAGGTCAAGGCGTTCCTCGCGGCCGAGCGATCGGAGGCCGTCACCAAGATCTTTGAGAAGGACGCCAAGTCGCAGACTGAGAAGGCCGCGCTGTACAAGCAGCAGCACGGCGGCGACCACGCGGGCGACGACGACGACGACGACGCGATCGACGACATTGTGCGCGGCGACACGCAGCATGCGGACAAGGACGACGACGACGACGACATGTCGGACGAGGAAGAGGAAAAGCCCAAGAAGAAGCGCAACAAGAAGAAGAAGAAGACCAACGCCGGCCCCAAGGTGAGCCTCGACGAGTTCAAAAAGTCGGTCGCCGCCGTCGACGAAGACGATCACGTCGAAAACATGGTCTGGTCGGACGACGAGTAGATGCTTGGTTAAAAATCTTATATTGTATATTCATGGCTGAGCGCGCGTGTGTTGGCTCTCGACGGTCGCGCTGCAACAACAATCAGGCCATACGTCGAGTCGTATACGCCCCATGGTATGACCATGCCGATCAAGTCGTGGCCGCAGGCGCAGGCCACACATAAATGCCCATGGCCCGTGCGCCACACGTGGGTGGGCTGTGCTTGTGCGACCAAGTAGCACGTCTCTCGCCGCGGGCGCCGCATGGGCCATTAATGGCCCATCCATGCCATCCTGATCGTGTCGTGGAGGTGAGCCGTCGTAGTGCGCACCAGTGGCACGCATCACCAATGGCCCATGCGCCACACGTGGCCTACCTCGTAGCATGCGCGATGGACCCGACGCGGCTCTCGTCGTGGGCTACGGCAGGCTGCACGGCTCTTGATCATGCCCATCGGTGCCATGCCTATCGCACGGATGCACGGCCACCGCGTCGCTTTCCCATCCAACGTGCCATTGGCTGCCTTATCAGGATCGCAACACTATTTTACGCGCGCCTTTTCACCACGACCAGCGCTCACGACAAGGCCATATTACGCCCACTTGACCATGCAAATGGCGCTAGTCGTGCGCCAGGATATCCTACGTACGCTCGTCGTCTCGTACAGGATTTAGTGTTGATGGTGGTGTATCCGGATAAAGTCAATACAAACTTCAAGTGCAAATTATGGAAGGCAACTTCGAAGCTCGAAGCCATTTCGAAAACCATGTCGGCTGCGTACGCCGGGCGCAAGACGGGCAAGCCGGCCGCGTCGGCCGCCGCCGCTAAGAACAAGAAGTTCGAGCTCACGGAGGAGCAGAAGCAGGAGATCCGCGAGGCCTTCGACCTCTTCGACACGGACGGCTCGGGCACGATCGACGCCAAGGAGCTTAAGGTGGCCATGCGCGCGCTGGGCTTCGAGCCCAAGAAGGAAGAGATCAAGAAGATGATTAGCGACATTGACAAGGATGGCAGTGGCACGATCGACTTTACCGAGTTTCTCGAGATGATGACGAGCAAGATGTCGGAGAAGGACTCGCGCGAAGAGATCCTCAAGGCCTTTCGGCTCTTTGACGACGACGAGACGGGCAAGATTAGCTTCCGCAACCTCAAGCGCGTGGCCAAGGAGCTCGGCGAGAACATGACCGACGAGGAGCTGCAAGAGATGATCGACGAGGCCGACCGCGACGGCGACGGCGAGATCAACGAAGAAGAGTTTTTGCGCATCATGAAGAAGACCAGCTTGTATTAACCACAGACAACTACGACAACGTATGAAGATGTACCTTGCTGGTGTTGCAGGAAGCTGTCGTGAGCGAAGGCTCAAGCCTCCGTCCGAGAAGGCCATCGTCGCGCCCTCGGCATACAGTCGTATGTATGCCATCATCACCCATCGTGCAAGCGCATGGCATGCGGTTGGTTGACGTACTACAGGTGACCCGAGAAGCGAGGCCAGACGACTTTATATGTACATGCTTGCCGACTGTACCTTGCTTGGGCCGGCGACTTGCGACGACGTGGGCGCAGACAGGTCGCACGTTACTCCGCAGGAAGAATCCCTCGGCCCTCCGAGGCCATAGACGCGTTGTCAGGCCTCTTACTTCCATCTTGGCTGCTTGGCCAGTCGAAGTCGTACAGGTATACGCGCCTAGCGACCAGCGCATTCCGCCATCGACCTCGTGTCGCGGGTACTCTGTGAGCTGGCCGATGCATCCATGCGTGTCCCTGCCATGCACGACAATGTGTGGCGGTTGACAGATAATCCGTCGCCATGCGATCGGTGCACGGTCTGTACCTACCATGTAGTGTACATGGGACGTGGTCGATGATGCGGGTGGCCGAGGGCCGAGCCTCCGCCACGTCAAAGGGGTCGTCCCGCCATCGGCGACAGTGGTCGGTGTCGCCCGTCCTACATGTACTTGTTGGACGAGGCTGCTGTCTACACGGGGACAGTTCCATGATACCAGCTGGGCGACGCAGTAATCCGATGTCGCGACCCAGACGACGCCGCCAGACGTAAATTGACATGGTCGAGCCCAAGAGCGACTGGCAGGTCGAGTCCGAGCGGTACCTCTGGTGCATTCCGTCGCCGTGGTACAGCGCCGAGCCCGAGACCTACCACATCCTCTTTGGCCTGCGCTTTCGCCGGTGGCAGCTCCTCGTGGCGGCCGTCACGATCCACGCGCTCCTCGGCTGGCTACTGCCGCTTGGCGCC